ACCTTTTTGTTCTTGGAATAAAGTACCGAATCCTTAGATCTAATGACACAATTTATGTATGACTATTTCTGGAGTATGAAGTATGTCATTATATCAAGCCTTACCTTCGCAAATAAATTACCTCTTATCATGGTAGGATTATAACCAAGCGGCGCCCTCGTACTCAGTTCCTGGAACGCCGTTTCAGCTGGCCGTGCAGGCAGCGCAAGCAGATCGTGAAGAGACACTAAGTGACTTTGTGAAACGTTGCCGTGGCATCCTCGAGGAGGGCCTCAAGTGGGCACCCAGTTTGGTGCGCGCTCATCTTGCTGATTACCTTCTTCAGCTGGCTCGTTCGTCCGATGGCCTTCGTCAGCACACTGGCCTTGCACTAGCCACGGAAGCTGTTCTCGCCTATGCTGGATATACGCATTCTGCTGGGGCACTTGGGGTCAGTCATCCCTCTAAAACATCTTTTTTATTTATGAAAAATATATGCCCCTGTTTATGATACCCCATATTAAACCTGTAATTCACTCGGTCTTATTTTTTATTCCTATTATTCAAAATTTGATTCGGCATTAAACTATATCCTGTTCAGTAGTTATTTTAAATACAATTCAGGATAAAGAAATATTTTTTACCGTTATCTCAGAAATTCTCTGATGCCTAGTCAATATTTTCCTAGCAAGCATGCTGATTAACTTAAAAACTTAGGATATTCTTCACTTTCATCTATTATCATTGTATCTTCGCTTGATTATTTCATCCATTATTTGGTATTTTACTTTCCTAAACGAGTTTGTTTGGGAAAAGTGATACTGAGTCTAAAAATGCAAGATTTTTATCCATTGTAGACTTTTGCGTGTCTACCCAGTGATATTTTTTCATTTAATGATTATATATATATATTGATATCTATGATAATCATTAGTCATTATAAGGCATTTAAATATTTTCTTGATGCCTTATATGAATTACTAATTGTTTTTTATACGCCAACGTATTCAACTTATTTCTTATAACCTGCATTTATTACTATAATTTTAAGCTTACGTCTTGCTTGGCCTTTATCTTTTCATCATTTTAAAATCATCATTATCTATACTTTCGGATTACTATTACTTATTCTAAAATAAAAGTAGAATGGTGTTTATAAGTTATACTGTCTCCGTTTTATTTATTTTATTTTCCAAGTAGCTATGGCGAAAATTGGTAAAAAAACATTTTCAACTTTTAAAACTAATTTGTTCTGATCCTTCTTATAAAGACAATAATTATATTTTCCATATAAATGCTTTAATATTTAGAAAGAGTATTTTTTACGGTTTCAATTTAATTTGAATAAATTTTAAGACCTAATCATCATTTGAAGATGAGTAACAATTCTTCTTGCTCTGCTGTGCATACGAAGTTTTATAGTGTTTTTCCACATGCATTTTACTTTATGGTTTTATAATTTAAATTATTATTTTCTATTTCGCATATAATTTGATGCTGTCTTTTTCGCTTTTGCCCTCCGAACACTGAGTTTTTTGATAGAATAAACTATTTAACTATTTCTCTGTATAAACATATAGTTTATAATAGTGAATAATTAAATTGACTTTAGGGCCTATTGTTAGACTATTAATTTTTTTAATTATTCGACTTTCTAACTGCTTGTTTAGGCATTAAAAATGCTGTCTATTCTGAAAGAAGAATCCTTTTTGTATACAATGGGTTGGATTTAGTCGTAATGTTCATATTCTCTTCATTGATAAGGCAAAACTCGACTATCCAATTCTGACAGTCCAAACAGCA